TATATATATAAAATTAATAAGGCTGTGGTCCAGCTACTTCAGTGGAAGATCCAAAAATCCAGTAGCTGGCTCGGTCCAGAACTGGGTGTCTCAGGTGCTCTTCAGTATATGCTGGCATCCTGAAGAAGCAGTATCTAATGCCAGTGAAGGAATGAACTTGCCAGCAAGAGCAAGGACAAACAGGCAAAGAGCACAAGCTTCCTTCTTCTCTGCCCTTTATATAGGTGCCACCAGAAGATGTGACCCAGATTAAAGGTGGGTCTTCCCATCTCAAAAAGTCAGGATTAAAGGTGGAAATGATTCAGTTAAGAAAAATCCCTCACAGGTGTACCCAACCGCTTGGGTTTTAGTTAATTCAGATGCAATCACACTCACAGCCAAGATTAGCTATCATAAGATGTGGTAGAGAGCTTGCATGAGGACCTGGGTTCAAGCCACTCAGGAGAGGAGACTGAGTGTCAGGCCTGCCTTGCAGTCCTGGCATTTATTGTCCCAAGTCTCAGCCTATTTGCTTTGTGACCTTGGAGACATCACAAACCTCTGTTTCTTCATCCATAAAATTGAATGTAAAAATATTGACCTGCCTCATAGGGTTTTTATGTAGAATAACTGACCCAGATGATGGTAAAGCTTCTTTGTTAATGAGAAAGGACCAAAGTGCTTAGCAAGCACAAACTTGAGTTTTAGAAAATTGTTTGTCTGCTTGATATATTCCTCCCCCTCTCTTCCTCACTGAGTTTGCACCTTCTTTCCACAGCAGGGCTGAGGTCAGGGCATAGAGCCTCCTTGTGCAATCCTGCTCAAGGTACAGCAGTGTCCCAGCCCTATCACCTAGCCTCTGTTCATTCTAACTCCAGAGAACCAGGACAGGGCCTACCATAGATGGGCCATGACAAGGCCAGGCTGGACCTACCTAGAAAGGCAACAGGGGTATAGCTGTGTGAACACAGGAAGAACTAACATACACATTTCACCTAAGGTCTGGGAATGTAGAGCTATTATTTTGAGATATTTTCTCTCTCTGCACCTCCCCACAGTCATGCAATTAACTCATGCATTAGTTGAAGATTTAATTCTGGCTCCCATATCCAGGTAGCAGATCCATAGACTCAATAATGTTGGTTTCTTGCCCAGATCCTAGCTCTGAACTTACATGTGAAAGAAATGTAGCAGACATGTTGAGCAATACACATGTGCTAGCTCATTCTGCATTGTGTGAGGAATGTTTGGTGGTCCTTGAGTGAGTGGATAGAGTCTCACAAAACTAGAAATGAGTGAGAGGAAGGAAAGTGTGTTTCTGTTCTGTTAGTGTCTAGGTCAGCCCTCTATTCATAGCCTCCCAGGGTGGACTGCAAGCTCCCTGGTGACTAGTGGTCCTGTCTGCATGTGCCATGGAGAGCCAAAGTAGTGGCATGCCGCCCCATCTTTATCTGCTTCACAATTTCCTGTCTCAGCCCTTGGAATCTTGATCTTCAGTTATTTTCCTCTCTGCTCTTATGCCCTCGCAAGGCATTCTTTATTATTTCAGTCCTGAGAACATGAGCCTGTTGAAAGGAGAGCATGCTGTGAGGGAAACCTGCCTGGCGCTGGGTGGGAGCAGCAAGCAATGCTAAGAAATCTAGCAATGCTACACTATATAGCAGCTGGTCTCACACCCTGATGGTAGAAGTGTATGTCTGCACCTACAGAACTGAACATTCCTGAGACCCTGAAGTCCTGCTATAGGATCCGAGTCCTTGAGAGCCCATCTTGCATCTAGGTACCAGGTCATGTGAGAGGAGAGGCTCATCATAGCCCTTCCAGCAATAATCACAAGCACTGCAGATAAGTGTGAACAAGAGCCCAACTCACACTAAGTGTAAGGCTATGGCAGGCAGTCCCCTGCCAGTGAGCTGCAGGGTTCTCAGTACCTTATCTACAGTGCACTCCTTCAAAAAGCCCCGCCCCTCACACAGGCAGTGTGATTGGCAACTTGTACTGCACGCGTTTTAAGCCTGCACACAGTATGTGTAAGGGAAAGGAGAGGGAATGAATACATGCAGCACATTTGCGGGGAGTGCACAGTAGGATCAAGGACTGGTGACATTGGCGTTCGGGGGGGGGGGGCAGTTACTGATAGGCCTACAGTGGGTGTTCACTGCCTTAGAGTTTAACCCACCTTGCAGAAGTGGTGACTGCCCTGTAAAGCAGGATCAGGATCAGAGTGTGCAGCTTTGCTTGGGGTGCATATAGGGAAACCCTTCCCAAAGTGCCCTGGGTGCTAGGGATACCAAGAATTTGTCAAGAAGAAGAAACCTAAGCCGGAAGGGAATCATGGCAAAGCACAGGACATTCAGAATCACTGTGTGAGGACTCATTCCAGAGTCCTCTAGCTGTGGCTTGTGACTTATGGGTGTGCTGTACACATGGGATGCAGAGGGTGTGTAGTTGGGCTGTATGAAGAGTATTACTGAAGACTGGGGGATCCACCTTCTACAGGGTGCTTCCTAGGTGCCTGAGGATCTGAGGAGTATGACAGCCTACCCATATAAAGGGGCCCTTGGTTGACTGAAGGCCTTCCTGCCCCTGAGAGCTGTGGGTGAGGGTATAAAGGTCACAAGGAATAAGACTGGAGCCATGGAAGAAGCTGTGACACCCTTTCCTCCTCAGATCTGCTGTAGAGGGCTGACCCAGGGAGAGGCAGGGATTCAAGTACATTTAGGGTAGATGTTCTGTGAGTTAATAGTCTTCAGGACCCCGCCCCCATCACCCACTGCCTCCTAGGCCACCTCAGAGAAGGCTTGCATTTCCCTTTGATTGATCTGGGCTGCAGCTTTTGACACTGCTTCTCACTTTCTCTGCCCTCTGACCCTGTGGGTGGGGAGTTAATGATCTTTAAACAAACACTTGAGTTTGATACCCTGGTGAAAGGCTCTGAGTCCCAGTGCCACCAGCACAGCATTCGCCTTGTGTCCAGAAGGAAAAGTGTGGGTGCCTGCCTCTGGCCCCGGTGGCAGGGGTGTTTGTAACCAAATCATAAAAATCCAGGCTGATTCTGGTCCTCTCGCTGAGTTTTCTGAAATGGGTTTTGTGAACTCTGCTTTGTTCAACTGAAACTGTTTGATGGCATCTTGTGTTAGGGGCATAGGAGGAATGCCACCGTCTTGGGCTCTGTTTGTATCTGCTCCTGATTTGCAGACTGTGAAGGCAGAAGCCTGCTCTGTGTGGAGTCAAAAGTTACCTTTCAGAAACTGAGATAAGATCACATTGCCCCTTTAGGTAACTCCACATGATATGCATGGCGCCTAGGCCTTGACCTTTAGCCTGCAACTGCCCTCCTGCCTCTTTATTAACTGTTTAGCTTCACAGGAGACTCCATCTCTGGGCCTGGCCCTTACTGGTGCCTCTGCCTAGAGCTATCTTGCTCTGGATCTTCACAGGCCTCACTCAGGGGCTGCCTGGGCAGTGCTCCTCTCCCTGCCTGTGTAAAACCAGAGCCTTCCCCACCCTGGGCCATGCACCTACATTGTAGAATTGTGTTTTAGTAAATATCAATATACGTTTTCATGAATTAACTTATGCTATACAAAATAACAACTTATCTGCATGGCCTGTGTAGATAATTTTTCTTGTTTCTAGATATTAAGCTGTTTGAAACAGAGCTGATTCTGGTCCTTCCCCTGGAATAGAGCCTGGCACATGTTAGGCACAAGGAACATGTCAAATAACCAGAGGAAGACCCTTCTCAGGCAGACACAAGCTAGACAGTGGGGGTTTCATGGGTGAGGAAAGGCAGAAGAGCGGGCTACTCAGGAATTAGGGACAAGTCCTGCCCTCAGTCACAGACTCCATAACCTGTCATCTGACCTGAGTTTTCAAAGCAAATGGCACACTGGTAGGCTGAGGAACTAGGTGTCAAGGGCTATGCAGAGGGCTAAAATGCGCTGGAATGGCTGATGAAAAGGAGGGTGTAGATCCTGGATGAAGCAGCTTCCAAGGAACAGAGGGAACTGGAGTAACCACTGTTCTTGTGCTGGCACAGGGATGAGATTTGGAAAGTGGCCTTACCTGGGCCTTGGCTCTCTCTCTCTCTCTCTCTCTCTCTCTCTCTCTCTCTCTCTCTCTTTCTCTCTCTCTCTCTCTCTCTCTCTCTCTCTCTCTCTCTCTCTCTCTCTCTCTCTCTCTCTCTCTTTTTTTTTCTTCCTGGAACTCGCTCTGTAGACCAGGCTGGCTTCTAACTCACAGAGATCCACCTAACTCTGTCTCCTGAGTACTAGGATTAAAGATGCATGCTGCCACCAGGCCTTAACTCTTGGGGGTGCTGCTTTCTTTGCCCAAAGAGGTCTGACTAAACCCTGGCCTCCCTTCTACTGTTTGCCTAGACCCCTACTAGGACTGGGGATGGGTAGGCAGAATCACCCCAGCCCCAGCTTCAGGGCTTGTGATTTTACATGTTCTCCCTCTTGCTCCTGATCAGGTGGTGAAGAAAGTGAAGTCCATGCAGATGTTCCACACACCCGTCACCTCGGCCATGCAAGGAGATCGACTGGGCATCTGTGTCACCCAGTTTGACCCCAAGCTGCTGGAACGTGGGCTGGTGTGTGCACCTGAGTCTCTGCACACCATTCACGCAGCCCTCATCTCTGTGGAAAAGATCCCTTACTTTCGGGGGCCCCTGCAGACTAAAGCCAAGTTCCATATCACAGTGGGCCATGAGACAGTCATGGGTCGCATGCTGTTCTTTAGCCCTGCTCCCGACAGTTTTGACCTGGAGCCCAAACTTGATTTCTTCGACCTCTCCCGAGAATACCTCTTTCAAGAGCAGTATCTGTGCAAAGACTCCATGCCCACAGCCACAGAAGGTGGTGATGAGGTGGACATGAAAGCGGGCCACACCCCAGGGGGCCAGTGCCCCAGGCAACAATGGGCCCTAGTGGAGTTTGAGAAGCCAGTTACCTGCCCCCGACTATGCTTGGTGATTGGCTCCAGGTTGGATGCTGACATTCATACCAACACATGCCGGCTGGCCTTCCATGGTGTCTTGCTACAAGGACTGGAAGATAAGAACTACACAGAAAGCTTCCTGCCAGCACTGAGGGTATACAAGCTGAAACACAAACATGGTCTTGTAGAGCGGGTAAGCTCAACCCTTGGGTTCCTTCCTCTCCTTGCTCAGTACTAGGCCCAAGTGTGGGCTGGGACCAGAGTCAAAAGTCCTCAGGTTTTAAAGTAGATAGTTTAGGCCACAGTACAGGGCGGCCTGAGTGCTTCCCATCATGCCCTCACAGAGCTGGACTATAGCCAGAGCCTCCAGGTTAGCAGACTGGCCTCTCCCAAAGCCCCCTGCCTTTGCTGGACCCTGGGCTCCATGCAACTGGCTCCTGCCAGGCCCAGCCCAGATTCTCATGACTAGTAGGAGTACCTAGGCACAGTCCAGGTCTACTTTGCCTACAGGGTAGGAAAGGGCTAGTGGTTTCATAGATATAAGGAACAAGAGGAGAAAAGACCAGAAAAGTCACTGGCTTCCTGATCGCCTTGGGGTCACTATGACTAGACAAAGCTCTGGGATGCAGGCCAGTCATTGGAGTCTGTACAATGTGGTACCTTTCCTGAAGTTCTAGAGAATCCAGACCTAGAATGAAGGGCTCCTGAGGGTCCAGGCCTCACTATCATGTCTACCTGGCCCTCTGGCTATACCACAGGGCTTGGTAGCTGTGTATGGTCCCAGGGTGTAGCTAGGCTCCCACCAAATCAGCATGAAGGCAGCCCCTCCTCTCCATCTTGGTGCAGTGGCTAGTACAAAGCCTAACCCTTGTGTAGTACACACCTGTAGGATACAGGCACACACTTCTGGGACTCTTTTTCTAATTTGCGGGTATTCGCTAGCGTTCTCTGCCTTCCCTGCCTCTTCTGCTCGATCAGTCCCACAGCTAAGGACCTTGGCCTGGGTGAATTCCATCCACCTCAGCACAGCAGAGATGCTTCTGCAGATGTGGTGATAAAGTGCACGGAGCTGTTCATCCAGCTTGATTTATTAGTAGCATTATGGGGTGTAATTATTCTGTAGTAAAGTATCTATCAGAGAATAATGTCTTCTTGGTATGGCTCCAGATCTAATTGTTCTCCCTCAGGCCTGTCACTTCCCTTAGAGAATGGGAAGAACTAGTGAGGAGCAAGGAAACACATTGTTGAATTGACCCCGGCCTCCCAAGAACAACAGAAAGGGTCTGGAGACATGCTGATCTGTGTCCTGTCACTAGTCTAGGGCAGCCCAGGGCCACCAGCCTTTTCATACTTAGTCCAGGGAGGCATCAGACCATAGACTTGCAGTCACAGGATCAGATCCCACATAGGCAGTTGTGAGAGTCACAGGCTTCTCCAGCTACCAGGGATGACTGTTTGGTCTCAGTGGGCACATCCATCTGAATGTAGATAGTTCTGACCTCACAGGCATGAAGCATGCACCTTTACATTTGAGAACTGCTTTAAGAGGAAGCCAGAGTAGCATAGTTCCCAAATGCTCAGCAAGCTTGTTCTGAGGGGCAGCTATGTTATTCTAATGGAACTGAACCCAGAGGGATAGGGAAAAAGTGTGTGTGTGTGTACACATCAGGGGATCATTCATGTACCCCCAGTCCAAGAATGAAGGCCTGAAAGGTCTCTGGAAAGCGGGAGTCCATGTTGAACAGCTGAAAACTTGAGTCTTGTGTCTACAGCAATAGGGTAGTGATAGACATGCTGACTCAAGCTTGTTCACATGGGTAGTCTTTGCAAGGCAAAAATATATCCTGAACTCTCATTTTTGGCTGTGCTGGCTGACTTACAGACATTCCTAGGTGTGCTTCTGCCAAAAAAGTTTCTGGGTGGTCAGGTCATTTTACAAAGGTTAAATCTGATATCCTAGGCAGATCTCTATCCTATGCTCTGCAGCACTGGACAGAATTTGTGTCCTATAAACACTCAGTCAGCTTAGGTACCTGAGATATCCTGTGTTACTAGTGAAGAGACATCCTACCTTCATAGCTAGGTGTGAGTGAATACTTACCATCTGAGCATGGATGAAGGCATCTGGGCCTTCTGTCCCTGCGCTTGTAAAGGTGTCATCTTTCGTAGTCAGCTTTGTGGACTTCATATGTTATGTCAGTCCTTGGATACACAAGAAGGAGGCCTAGATCACCCTCACAGTAGAGGCTGAAATTGAAATAGAAGCAGGGTCAAACATATGTTAATCAAGGTCCTGCAGCCAGTGCTTGGCACCCAGGAGACGCTAACTTTGGGGGCACCCAGTCTCTGCTGTGCTTGCTCTACTGCCTATAGATGTGCCTGAATGCATGGGTGTTCTTCAGAGTAAGTAGAACCTAGACCCATCCTGAGCAACAGTTCTTACTCCAAATCTAGTCATCCTAAGTAAGATTATTTTTTTCTGGATACTTTTTTTTTTTCACCAGGTGCAGTCAAACACAATTTAACTAACTTACCATTAGTAAATAGCTCTCTTTGCTTGGCTAACAGATGAGCCACCCAGAAATTTTGATACCAGCTTCATTCCCATTTTTAATTATTTTGTATCTACAGTGATGGAATATACTATTTTAAATTTTCTCATTTTTCTAATCATTGCTTTTATATGAGTTAAGAATATTGTAATGTTAGGGTATGTTGAGTTAACATAAATAATTGCAAGCTCAGGGCTTTGCCAGTGGGGCTCAATAAGATGATACCCCACACCCCATTGAGCCTCCTCAGGTCACCCTTTCATCTGCTTCCATATGAGGGGTCTACACTACTAACAGAAATCACTAGCACTCCAAAGGCAGAGGCAGGAGAATCTCTGTGAGTTCAAGACAACCTAGTCTATATAGGGAGTTCCAGGGCAGCCTGAACTACATAGAAAAGTTTGCAAAGGTGAAATAAAGTATCATTCTCCATTAAAGCAGAGATTATATGACTTCCTTCCAAAGAGTACAGGATAGAAAGTAAAAGGTTGAGAAACTTTGCAAACCTGTCTCAAGAAAACAAAAACAAACAAATCTCTAGATAGGGAGGGTGGTGGGATGGACTGTCGGCCATCAGTGTTCCTGCAGTTGCAATCCCCTAATGCCTTGTTCAGTCTCCGCCTCAATTGCTTCCCTGCTAGTAAGGTCCAGAAACAACGGGGAACTGCACCTAAATATGGTTGTGTTCAAATAAAACTTTCCATTAGTGCACACTAAAGTTTAACTTTCACTTAGTTTTCATGTGTCATGAAATATTCTTTTTTAAAAAATGTTTTTCAGCTCATTAGGCAAAAAGCTATTCTTAACTCACAAGCCATCTAAGAGCAGGTCTAGGCAAAGTCTGACCCTCTGGTCAGTTTGCTGTTCCTTGTCTATGTGGTAAACAGCTCTTGCCAAGGCATGATCTTGCTGTGAGGGAATCCTGGTCACAGCTACAGCTGACCAGCTTTGCTTGCTCCACAGCCCCAGGAATTGGGCCATGGTGTAGAGGCTCACAGAGGTAAGGGCATCTGTAGTGTCACTCAGGAGGAGGAGAAAGGGAAGTCTGAAGGGCCAGAAGCTCTCTGGAGATGCTCCACAGGTCTGCCTATCTGACAGTAGGCTAGCACGTAGGGAGTGGGGGATCACTTAAAGGTGTACTGTTTGAGAGGAAAATACAAAATATGAATCAGATTTTGAGCACAGAGAAAGAATGAATGGAATGGAAGTGTTGGAAAAATGCTTATCCACAGAAGGAAAACCGAAATGAACTTGATAAACCAACAAAAATAAGAAAAACGGGAACAGTGCTAAAACATGATAACAAAGATACAGAAGACAGAATTAAGAAGTACTTACCATACCAAATAAATGCCAACTATAAAGACAAACTAATATATAGGATTAAAACACAAACTCTACTGACATGCCGTGTCTAAGAAGCAAGGATAAAAATAAAGAATGCCAGTAGCTAAGCAGAAAGACCGCATGAGTGGACAGTCACCTTTAACAGAGGAGGGCCAGGTACTGATATGAAGCAAAGTAACAGGCACAGTTACAGACCTGGACTAGATACATTAAAAGTAAAACCCAGCAGGAATCCAGGGAGATGGGGTGTGGATTTTCAGATGAAATGTCTGGCCTCCCTTAGGGCATATGTAAATAAAAATGTTATGTACATAATAGTGTAGATTTGTAAAGATCTGGCAGAAATTATGAGTTGCTAAGGGTATGTCACAGCTAAGCAGAACTGTTGGGCTTGTCCTCAACAGGCTGCTAGTGCATACAGATTTAGACACATAGCCAGAGGCCAGAAAAGTGGATCTTCCTGGGCCAGCAGGGACAAAAGCCCATGGATGGGGTGAAAAACTGAGAGTCAGGAGAGGGGGAGCGGAACTCCACTTATGGTGGAGCCAGCACAGAAGAGTACGACCTTTGAGCTCTGTCTTGAGCAGCTAAAGAGCAACTGGCCAGACATGGGAGAACATGGAAGGTTCTAGGAGCTGTTTCTGTGACACAAAGAGGCCAACCAGTGTCTGAGTCTGACCCTGAGCCACTGGGGAAGCCCTCAGCCAGACCACCCAGCCAGCATCCAGTGAACAGAGTCAGGGCTGGGTGGGCTTGGGAACAGAGCAGCTTTGGTTCCCAGGGCTGGAATCACCTCAGAGCCAGACCTACAGAAGCTGTCCTGTGGAGGAGGCCTCAGCCATTGTCTTGCCTGCCTTGCCACAGCCTATGACTCAAAGCTTCCTGACCCAGTTTATCGGGATCCCAAGAACTTCCAGGTTTGACAGAACCTGCTTCTTGGGTCCACATTTCTCCTCCCTAGCAGTTCTGCCTTCCTTGGCATCAAGAAAGAAGTGAGACAGGTAAGATTTGGTGCCCAGAAGCACCTACCTACGTGCCCAATGCATCCTAACTGTTGCTATACTCAGGACACCAACCCTCTGACTTCTAGCACCATCCTCTTGCCTCACTGTGGTTCTCAACATCTGGCAGCTCACACAGCCCCACACAACTAATGGTACACTGGAGAAAGGTTCTGCCAACTCTTAATACATGCTCTCTTTAAATCTAGAACCCATACAAGAGCCAGAGAACTGTGCACAGCACTAAAGTGGGCCCCAGGGTGTGGCAAGTGGATGAAGAACAGGAAACAAAC